AAAAAGCCTGCAAGGAAGATAACATGAGAGTATCTTTCTCCATTACCCCTTATCTGATCAAAGAATATCTTCATATAATCCTGCCAAGGCAAACAAATGATGCCATACACTTGACTATTGGTGACCATAATTAAGTTTTCCTGACAATCAGAACTATGTTTCCCTTCCAGGTGCAGACTGGTAGAGCTTGATGAAGAACACTTACCTTTTTCATAGGTTTAATATAGCCAGATACAATAAAGGTATTATAAAAAACCGAAAAAGATAGGGATAGGAAAAAACTTTTTATTCTTGTTAGAGAAAAAACCCACAGCATTTCTGCACAGCAAAGATACAATTAGGAATTGGTTTAAAAACTAGTCTTCTAGATGAAGAAAGGCACTTCAGTAAATAATTTGGAAAAAATAGTATTTAAGTATGTTTTCTGCATTTTAAAAAACTAGAGTAAAACTTAAGACAGTGTGAAAGTTATCTTATTCTTTTACATGGTTTATTTTATTTTTTAAGAGGATTTTTTTCCCTATTATCTGAATTTTATTCTAGAAAACATTAAAACAGAAATATTTCTTTACCATAATGAAGAGGTCACCACCTCTGAGGCATGAGCTTTTGCATACCTAAAAGCAGCTTTAAATCCTTATCATTCATCAAGCAATCACAAATCATGTGATTAAACATCTTTTGAATAAAACATATTTAAAGAAAACAGTGTTTAGATATAATCACTTATTGAGAATTATCTGGATATGCTAAAGTAAACATGACATTCAATATGTCTAACATTAATTGCTTAGAACTTCTTACAGCTTTCAACAAAAGGTTCATCCATCATGAAAAGATTCTTAGAAAAACAGTTTCTATTGGACAGGAGGAAAAAGCCCTTTGAGGAATGACTAAACTGGCTAAAAGAAACAAGAAGAGGTTAGATTAGCATACAGAGAGTAGTTACCAGCAACATCCAGAAAGAATCCATGCATAGTTCCATTGTTGTATGGCAATATTAACAAATCACCTGGAAAAGGAAGACAGGCTGAAGTGACAAAACTCCTCATCTTAAAGAACTCAGGTGACTTCAGTTGAAGGGGGTCTGTTTGCATATTTTTTGAGGGCAGGTTTGGGTTTTTTGCATTTTGTTTGTTTTTAGAGAGAGAATATATAGGGATGATTTAAGAGGGACAGGTTTGAGGGTTTTTTACTTCTCATAAAACAAAAATGGGATGGGACTCCCAAAGTTATCTGAAAGCACATTTAGAACACAAGTGTGAATTACATTAGTACATTCAACTGTGCATCCTCTACAACTGAGGATTCTGAAGTCCACAGGTATGAAGTGACTTTGAAAAAGAGCAATTGATATAGGGTGGTCTTCTCTGTCTCTCCAAGTCTAAAAACCACTGACTGGCCAAGGGGAAGAAGTTATATAGCAGGAAGGACTACTCTTTAAGCATCAGTTACTAGTATGGATACAGAAACACTGGCTTAGGTCAATTTGAAGTGTGACCTATTATTTTTATGTAATTCTATTTGCTCATGCATGATACACAGTTATGCAATATGTAGTATTATAGTCCCTTTCATTAAGCATTAAAGCCATACACTTGGTTTTGCAAGAGAATATGGATGAAAAGACAGACTTCACATGCATCAAGTCTGGACAATACCACATTGGAAAGAGTGACTGATACACTTTAGGACAGGGCTGCTATGTGCAGGGACCTCAACATGCTGAGAAGTGGGCCAACAGAAACCAGAAGGAATTCAAAGGCAGATGTAAAGCCCTGCACCTGGGATGAAAAACAACAGGAGCCAGTACAAGCTGCAGGTGGATTGCTTAGAAAGCAGATCTGCAGAAAGGGACATGAGGGATCTCATGAACATAAGCTGAATCTGAGTCAGCAGTGTCCTTCAGCAACAAAAACTGACTGCGTTCCAGATTGCATTGCCAGCAGGCTGAGGGACATGAACATTCCGCTTTCAAAAGGCTGTACCTGGAGTTACACTGAGTTTTCTGCTCCCCAGAACAAGAGACAGACATATTGGGAGTGAGCACAGGAGAATGCCACCAAGACAATTGAGGGCTGGGGCACTTTATACAGGATGACAGACTAGGTGAACAGGGTTTGTTCAGCCTTAAGAAAAGGCTTGGGAGGCAGGAGCAATACAGATCTTATTGCTGTCTACAGCTACCTAAAGAACATCAATAAAACAGAACAACACTGCTCAAAAGTGCACTGCTATAGCACAAGAGGCAGAAGACAAGATGGAAGATGGGATTTTTCACCATGAGGGTGGTCAAACATCAGAACATACTACCCAAAGAAATAGCAGACGATCCGAACTTGACTGGATGAGGCCCTGGGTATTCCAATCTGACTGAACTTGCTCTGAACAGGGCGGGTGAACAAGATGATCTCCAGAGATCCTATCCAGCTGTAATTATGATTCTATGATTACAGACACCACAGCTAGAAGAGTTTCACATGCAGGGCTATTTCCTCTAAAATCTACTGCCAGAATACTTGAAAGGAAAGGTCATAGTTCTCACAATTAATGAGGGTCCATGCAAGCACAGAATCATAAATTAAAGTTTTGGAATGTTTTTATGCAATGAGATTCTCTTCTCCATAGCTACCAAATACAAATAATAACATACAACTGAAATATCAGAAAAATATGGTTATTGTTGTTAAGTGAAACATTCCTTAGTTTACCCTAGAGGTCTGGTCCCAAGTGGCTCAAGCTGATGTTTTATTTACAGTTATCAATTTCAATAATCAAATTTCTGCCAGAAAATTACGGAGTTGATTTACATATTTCTGTCAGCAGCTCCTGATTCTCTTTGGAAGAGTTATCATACCATTGAAGATGCTACTTTAAAAAAAGTTGAACTCAATTATTCAAAAAGCTTTATGACCAGGTTTAACACAAATATCATTTGTTTTCTCAACTATAGTCACGCCACCGAGCACACCAACACAATTTAACCACTCACTAGTGACAATTCAAATCTCAAAAAAGCAGTAAGTCACATGGTCAGAGATGTATGCAACCATTTATGTCCAAAATAAAAGCTATGACTGCTTCTTATGATGCTATGTTCTCAGTTTCCATTCAAAAGTTAACGTCTGGATAGAAACAAATTTTGCCTCATGTATTTTAGCAGTTGAGGACTTGGAAGTCTGAGAGCACGAGTGGAAGTTCCAAGGAATCCAATTTCTGTCTTGCATAGTAATCCAAAACAGTTATAGAATTAATATTATTAATAAACCAATGCTAACAGCTATGTATAAGAAATTCTTGATTTTTAAATTTAACAGAATTCCTCATTCCTGAAGTTACGCAGAAAAAATCCAGGACATGTTCATAGTCAAAACATCCATCAGATAAACCACTGGAAAGTTAAGAAAAGCATGGTAAAGACAAACCAAAATAAACTGTTCAAAGAGCATGTGGATCCAATAAAAAAGCCACCTTTACCTTACTAGCTAGAAAAAGAACTTGGAAAGTTCAGCAAGAATAGCAATCATTTATACTGCACATCACATTTGCAGTCTCATTTAGAAACCTTTGTGCAATGTGACAGTTTAAGTACCTTGTTTATATCAAAATTTGCAGTTTCAGGAGCTATGACTACATTTATACTATGGTGTTGAACAAATGCTCTAGACTACCACACAAGCATTTTGTTTTATTAAATGCCAAATGCTTGAATTCTGTATCTGTATAGATTCTTTTGCATACACTAATTTCTTTGTGTAAATTCAGAAGTTAAGCCATCTCATTTAGATCCAAGTTTCAAGCATTCGAGAAAGGTATAAAGCAACTCTAATTAGCTCCAAATTAGCAATAAAGAGACATGAGAAAATACCCCATCAAGTAAGTTTCTATTAACAGTAGTTCAGAAAAGCAAAACACTAAAGTAGTTACAAACTCAAGGAAACATTGAGGGAAAAGAGTAACATGGTTCCATTTGCTCTGCTTCTGATAAGCTGTGCACAGTGCAACATCCCTAACTACTGAAAAATGCCAAGAATAAGCCATTTTCTAGTTTGCACATGACAACTGCATGTGCATGGTACAGGAGACCCATAAATTTGAAATCACATACCTCTGCATTTTATATCAGTCTATTCAAGTCAGTTTTGAATACGTTTAGTTTTTACTACTCAGATCACTATTAGTATCAAAATTCCGATCTATGACAACAAATACATATAATAATATGTCCCTTAATTAACATATTTCCACTGTGTACAGGTTTTATGAACAAAACACTGGAGCCATGTCATGACAGAAACAAATCTGAAAACAGCAGGCTGTGTTTGATTCTGCTTTTATACTTTCCTAAAAATGTGTATGCTTGCACATTCAGAAACAGAAGTTCCTGTTCGCAAAAGGAAACGCCATTTTCTGTTTGTGTATTAAGAATAAAACATTATGTATTTGCAGCAAGTATCTGTGACACTACATACCTTTTACCTCTACTGTTACCAACCCGTGGATGTCTGTTGAGGAGTGCTCCAAAGCCTCCATGCCCTCTTTCCTCCTACTTGATGCAAGCATTCCCAATAGCCTTTGGGAGTTATGCAGAGCCATCAGCACCCTTTCTTCCTGGGGTGGGGGGAGTACAAGTGCTTGCTATAACCTGTCACTGGAGAGGAAAATATGGACACACACATATCCTCTTTCTTAGTGTGCTAACAGCTGTAAAACCATGGCTAGGTCTAAGGAAAAGTGGTTTCAAAAGCATAGCTAGACCTACCTCCAACACTGATGGTATATCTGTAACTAGAATGTATTTAACAGTGTGGAGGATGTCACTTTAGTCCTTAGGAGTATAGAAGCATTTGACTTTTTAATGCATAGATTTAACCAGATGAAGTCTGAAGATTCAGTATGTTTTTCCCTATTATTGAAGATGGCACTCTGAAGACAAATTTACAGTAGCATTAACATCAAATTCTGTGACAGCTCTAAACAGAAGTCAAGCATGACTGAGATCACTTTGTCCTTACAGAATATTAGTAGTGTATTTATACGGCAAGTCTTCTATATTTTGATATTTTGACAGCAATTAAAATAAATGGAAGGAGATTAAATAAAACCTACTTTAGATTGAGGAAGTTTCAAGAAGAGATTCCACAATGAAAAGACAGCCTACAGGAAAGTCCAGTTCTCACTGACAGGCAGAAACATACTGCATGGAACAATTAGTTTCAGAGTATTTAATCTGAGTTAATCAGGGTATTGTTATCCATTTACCATAATACCTGGGAAATTTTGATCAATGATGTAAAGTATTAAGTGTTGTAATATACAGTGTAAGAGAATCAGAAGGAATATATCCTGCCATTTGTGAAGACCAGCTGCAGAACAGGAATTTGAGAGAGGCAAATACAGATTTTTTTTTTATAGCCTAAAAAAATGCATAAACTGCCCATAGCAACAATCTACAAAAGATAAAAAGCACCCATCAGGTCAGCAAGACCCAGAAACCACTTAACTTACTCCTTAGTAATCTTGCAAATACAAGATGTTGAAAATAAGTTACCAGGCATTGTATTCTGATAGAGTAAATTTTAAGGTGGATTTGAGCTTTGCTTATCTAATTATTTTGGAGCCTTCAATGTTTCCAGATGGGGAAGGGGGTGGAAGGGAAGTCAGCTCCTAGACAAAGTAAAAGACTCCAGTGATGTCAAAGCAGTAAGGGTGTCCTAAGGCTACTGAGTAGAAACTATGAAGGACTCCTAACATCCTCTTTCAGGCTGCTCCCCAAAGGCAAAGGAGCGATGACCACCAGTAACAGGGAACATGACTCTCAAATACCAGCACCCTAAAGATATAAATCACAAGTCCACCCAATTGTCAAGAACAAAAAAGATTTTGATGGCTAACCTGCTTCTAAGTTATGTCAAATGAAGGAGAACTGGGAAAATTACACGCATGATGTTATGTCACAGGGTAGACTGGCTAGAGCTAAAAAGTACACGCTATGTCTGAATTAGAAGACCAACCCAAAATGAGTTAGTTCAAACCCAAAATGGTTTGGTCATTCAAAACAGTGATACATACTGTATCTTATTCCACATGTCCTAACAATGTACTGCCAGAAACATTGACACAATTTCAGTCTTCAGCTTAAACTTCAGTTGCTAAGTTTTAGCATAACTCATAAGGGGAAAGATAATATCTATCTCCACATACTATTTATACTGCAAGGTTCAACGGCAATACTTACAAATAAAAACTGAAAGTTCAGCTTCTGTTCATTTACAGTTAACCTTTTAAAATAGTTCACTAGTTCTGACAGTTCTATAAACTTACAAAACTAATTTCTTTAAGAGCCAAGTTCTGCTGCTCAGCAAGCAATTATACAAAGATTAGTGTCTGGTAATTCATTTATTCCCTTCAGTGAGCAAAAATAATGGGGATTGGATTTCTGTGACTTCAAGCAGCTCATGCTCAGTTACTACCAGATGCTCAAAGTCATCACAACGAATCACAGCAGGAAAATACGTTAATTGGATTAAGTGTTAGTTTTACCTTTCCCTTTTTCCGATTGAAAATTGAGAACATTTTACCTCATTTAATACGAGGAATGTAAAAGTAAACATAATACGAATAGTAAAGCTAGTAAAATAACAGAAGAGTAATTACATTTGCCTGCATTACTTTTCTGAGCGCTCAAACTAGAGAAGAAAACAGTTGCAAACAACTCAGCTACAGAAACTGTACAAACTAGTACTTCAAACTGGCAATTTGCATCAGTAAAGTATTGAAAGCCAATACATACAGGAAGTCAGAGACCTTACATCTTGCTGCTGAAGATCAACAACAACAAAATAAAAGTCTGAGACATACTGTCTAGATAACATTCTTACTTAAGGGGAAGAGAACAATTTCCGAAAGAAAACTAAAATACTCTTCAAGTCATTTTCTAATAGAGCAGCACTGACCTTATCCAGATGTTGCCCATATACAGAAAATAAATGTTAAGAAAAGCATCAGCCCTTCATTTGCATGCAGAACCTTGGGAGTGCCACTGGTTGCCTACACCTGTTTAAGCCAGAACCAGGCAGCATACTATTCAACAATCTATTTTCATAGCAACTGGTCTATTTTCAGCAAAACTGAAAGTGTAACAAAGTAGAATGCTCGAGTTAAATGATAAAACCAAGATAGAAACATTTAAATATATAATCTATATTCAGCATATGTAAAAGCGAGTACCAATGTGAACATAATCAGGATGTTTTACATCAAGAGATGAGCATATTTAATGTCTCCACATTCAGATTCAGTTTTTCAGTTGTTGTTCTAACCTGCAATACCAACATAACCCTAAAGTATCTACAAGTTCTATGTTATAGCTGAATACACTGAAGTTATATTTGCTCCAAAATTGTCTTCAGTGTTTTCCTTAGAATAATAAAACATTACCAAATGCTTCCACTTGCATTTGCTAATATCCAGCTAAATCCTAGTCAGCTAATTTACTTGTTAGACAGTTTCCTCCTAAAAAACCCTCCAAATTTCACTCACAAGTACTCTGTCATCTTCATGAGATATAATTAACACATTACCAAAGTCCTAAATAGCATATTAGCCCAGCCAACACTTTAAAATTAAAAAAAAAAGTTGACTGGCAGGTACCAACTGGCATCTCCCAGATACTTTGGCAAAGCAGTATTCCCTGCCATGACAGCTTTCAGAGGAGCAACACACTGCTTCAGAGAAGAAGCAATTTACAGTTTCCAGCTCCAGCCAAATGTGAAACTCAGCATGAATTCCCTCTCCCAGAGACAGGACATAACTGACTGGCACTGTCTGGCCTCTATGTATGGCTCTGTAATCCTGCCAAGATCAAAAACTGGAAACAGAAAGGTTAGAGGCAAAAAAACCACCACACTGAGCAGCTATATCTTGTCTCTGAGAATGTGCTTTAGAAGTCTGAGAATGTTGGCCCGTAAACAGCTTCATCTTTCTTTATGTATTCACATCAATATTTTTTTTCTTCTGTGTAGCTTAACTTTGCATATCAACAAACCACTGGCCACAACCATGCCTGAAAAAATTGCCTGTAGCTGCCTCATATTTGGAAATGGCTGAAAACAATGCAGCACCTACAATTAGAGTCTAACTTAGGAGCTATATAAACAAATGTAAGCATTCCAACTACAAGATTAATTTACCTTTACTTCTGAGGAACAGAATCATACAAAAGCGTTGGCATCAGCCTATTTTCCATATGCACATGAACTGAATTCTAGAGCAATTAGAGGCTGAAGCTCATACAACATTGCATGGAAGACAGTTCAGCAAATACAGCTAAATTAGTAACTACATACAACATCAGAGCATCAAACAGTTCTATGGCACTTTGTTTTCTGTACCAATCTTATCAGGCTCTGATAAACCTTCAAAAGGGAAGATAACTTTGACAATAAATTGCCTAAAGATCCAGCTAACTGGGTTTGTAAATGTGACCTCTAACTAGCAGGCACTGGTGAGCCTGTCAGAGCACGGATACTGTTAGTCAGAGCAAAGACAGTACAGATGTAGCGTGTACTCACAAATGTATGACTATTTTTTGTTGTGGCCACCAACAAAAATGAAATGCTCAGGATCAATACAGGATACCTGGAGTTGGATTCAACTTCCATGGTAAAGCACCCAAGTGTAGATATCTGTGTGAGGAGTCAAAGCTCCACTGACTAGAGTCAGTGGACATCTAGTCAGCACAGCTAGGGTAACTGCAGAGTTTCAGCCCACCCTAAAGTTGAAGCCTGCATCTGGCCAGCTGAGTAACTCTCTGGATTTCACTGAATGTATGGACTAGATCTCCATCTAACTATAATCTGCAAATTCAATCCCACACCTTGCCAATTGTCTCTTGATGTAACATCACTGCTGCATATTTTGCATCACTGGCTAAAAACACCTGTGTCACTCAATATTCTCATACAGCAAAACAGACAAGCAAAGCAAGGCAAAAGAAGAAACAGCAATAAAAGCTAAATGCATATTACTGGTCCAGTGTGATGCCAATAATCACCGATTGTCACCAGTGTCATTTAAGGAAGGCTGCATTACACCTCAGTACATATCATGCCTTTCATAACACAACAAAACCCTCCAACCATTACATTTGCTTTAAAAGTCTCAGTGATGCTGAAAAAAAACAGGGAAAAGAAAGGCAAGGGAACAACTATATATAGTTTACCTATTTATGATTTTAGTACATGCCAGAAATAACTAGAGGAAAAAAATGCAGCTATAATACTTCCAAACTGATACTCCTTAATTTGGAGACAAGCATACAAACAGACTAGCTCTAAAATCCTACGGCACTGCTTTCTATCACAAAACACTTGTGACATCCTTGTCTTACTAAACTGAAATAAGAGACTGAGTAAGGTAAGGGACTCTGAAGCACAGGTAGATTTTTTTTTTGTCAGTCCTCCTGGTCAAAGGGAAGGGGTATGAAAGGGCTAGTTGAATCTGGCAAGTCAACAAATGGTTACAGGACTAGT